CTTCGAGCGTTTTGCCTAGCTCTGATTTTATTTTCAATTTTGAAAGAAAATTATAGAATGATCGATTGATCAAACGAAATAGTCAATAAGATTGCTATCTTTCATTATATGTTCTAGTTCATATTTATGAGATTTCAAATTAATAGTTTTAAAAAAATTACTATTTTTACATGCACAAACAACTGAATAATAGTAATTTTCTGAAAGTCTTTGTGTTCAAGAGCAAATAGTGCTTAAAGCATGCTTCCTTGAAAGAATGGTCAAATCATCGATGTTTGCGTGTATTTCTAGTTACTGAGATACATTGAATGATGACAGTGTCGTTGAAAATTTGTCGTAAGACAGTGTTTCTGAGCATGGTTCAAGGAGTTCTATGTCTTGCTAAAATCAGATCTGTGTTTACTTTCTATCTACATAGTTTACTAATATCTCATTTATCAATATGAACAAGAAGAAAAGCTGAAGTGTTTATTGTCGAGAAGGGTGAAACAAGAAGTGTCGATTTATTAAGGCTATAAACAGTACATAATAAACATTTTTTGAATTTAAATAGCTGTTTTGACTTTTGGCGACGTATAACTTTAAGATTTTGTGTTGCTGGACTCGACTAGCAAAAAAAAATAATGATAGACATAAATTTGATATTGATGCCAATTATCCTCTACGATAGAGTGTTATGATAAAACTATCTTAATTTTTAAGGTCTCAATTGTGAAATATTTTTCATTTATCGACTCAGTCAATATCATCTAGTTTGATGTGCTTGAGTTGGATTTTTCTAAGAATGAAAATCTCAAATCTCAATCCATCGACAGAGAGGGAATTGTTATCGACTCAGATTATTTGCCTTTATGTTTTTGTCTCGCATTAGTTTAATATCCTTATTAGTCTTCATTGTTTAATGCTTCAGTAAAAAATACGACGATGACACACACACATCCATTCTAAACGAAACTTTGGGTGTATATACAAGAACATAAGATCTCTTTATGAATAGAATTTCAGGTCGAAATAGTGAAGTTGAACTTTTCTATGATACATCCTGCATCAGGCCAAAATCTCATTAAAAGTGTCATAACTCATGAAGAAAGCAATAAGGGACCAACTCATTATAGATTTTGCTGACTCTCAATAGGCTGTGCCTAATGACAAAAGACTCATATCAGAAGAGCTTTTTACCACGAGATATTTCTTCGTGAGACTTTATTGCATTGATAGTTCAAAACTTTTACTGATTTGATCTCTATCATTTTCTTTATCGAAAATATTAATAGATCATATGATTTGAAATAAACATTAGTTCATTCGATGAAAGAATAAATTATATTACCTGTTGATTCTGGATGTTCTTTCATGGAAAATAATGATAATGATGATAATCGACGATTAGCTATTACTGAAAGAGGGGTACTTGGTTCACTAACAATTGCTCTTCGAGCTCTCGTTGATAATGGTTCTTGTTGAGTGGAAAACAATTTTTTCATTTTTATTAAATGTTGTAATAATTGACTTATGGATTTCATTTGATGATGATAAACCATCTCTTCTATTTGTCCAGTTATAATACCCCAAAATAAATTAATCCGTTCAGAATTACGATAACGTTGACATGCATCACTTAGATTATATCCCATTTCAATTGCAATCGTATGAGAATTAAATCTTTTTTCAAAGTAGGCAGCTACATGATCAGCTAATGTTTTATTGTTTTGATTTGAATTATTATCTGATGAGGAATGTGTGATTTGTAGAAGTGGTGAACGTAGAGACGATGATAATTCAGAAGCATTGTTTTCTTTTGTTCGACTAGCATTTTGAAGGAAATGATCTTTGGTATCTCTAATTTTGTCTGCCCTATAAATATTACAAATAAACCATTTAGTCAAACAAATGTTTTTCTAAATTTTCTTGTGTTTGTATATCCCAATTTCCATAGCATGTAGTTTTATGAAACACGATCTAAACAATGTCTTGCTGTCGATCGGGTAATTGATGAGATCTCGACGTTTCAAAATACTTGTACTTTTTCAAAATGCTAATTTATATAAAAGCATAAGAGTGAGAATTGCTTCAATCATGATTGAGCAGTCTATCGTACTTTAGAGCAGGTCCATATAATGAAGTTATTGAATAAATGGAAAGGAACATGAATCATGAAGAACATGAACATTGATTCTCATGGATGAAAAATGCATTCATTTATGCATCCACAATTATGATGTTTGACACTACGACTGCGTTTCATTTGAGCGTCATTAACAACAAGCTACGTATACTTGAAGAAATCGATTGAATTTTAGAGGCAGAGAGATATCAAGTGAGCCCAGAATCATTTGTATTTTTTGTGAAATTTGAGATGGTGTCTTCGTTTTTTCCTGTTTATAGAGGAAACTAAACAGTACACTTCTTCATAAAAAATAAAATCTTTGAAAACCATACTACGACTGTGAAAGTATCTGCCGGATATCAATTAGCTTCGGTTCGGATATGAGATAGCCGAATCAGGTTCGGTTATAAAAGAAATGTCGGCTAGAGTCTGGTTGCGAAAAGTCGCCACAGGCAGTAACAGACATTCTTAATATAAAATCAAAAACATTTCATTTTAATATATGAAATACTTGCTTATTGTATTTCTCGAGGATTTAGTAAAAGGATGGCGAAAAAATATGTCCCAAAATAGATAAAATAAAGCGATGTCCCTGTGATTAGTAACAACAACCATGTTGTACTTCATATTTTATTCCTGCAGGGATTTTCCTAACAACTTTTTCAATTGTTACTTATTTTAAGACTCGTTGATGTTGTTTCTTCTATTATCATACCCTTCAATTAAACACTGTAGGGTATCAAAGCGTGGATTCATATATTTCAAATAATGCTGTCTATTAACGGTTTTTTGCTGTTAGTATCTTTTATTTTGTCTCGGCTTTTTCTTGTCATAAAAATATCATCTAGTCATTCAATAAAAGAACACTTCGATGAATCTTTTGTTTATTTTCGTTTTGTTGAAAACCTTTTGTTAAAATGATTTCAAATGTTATATGTCAACTATTCAATGGGTAATGAAATTAATTCCTATACATTTATGTTGAAGATATGATTTCCAATATATTTAATATATTTATTCGGAAAAAAAGTCTATTTTGATTGAAATAGAATTCTTACCAAATATCTTTAATTAGAAGCCCCGTCATACGTCGTCTCATTCGTCTATTAAATATTCGGGTATTTTTTGATATACGTAAAAATGGTAAAACTGATAAATCATCACCAATCGCATCGAAATAATTTTGTTCATGTGTTGGTTCTATTTGAATTCCATTAATAATTTCTTTAATTAATATATCAACTAATTGTTCACTGGATTTTCCATTTGATAAAATTTTCCATCGTTCTATTCCACCATCAATTACATTTGATACTTTATCCCAATCAGGTCTTGGTGTCAACAAAGATTTATTTGTTTGCCATTCATTATAATATTTATTTCGTTCATCAATTAAATCATGTGTTTTATTTATTAAATATAAACAAGTTTGTCCTAAATGTTGATATTCATTTTTAAGTAAATTATATTCTTTATTTAATTGATTGTGTTTATTTAATAAATTTTCGTAATCAACACGTAAAACAATATTTTCATAAGATAATTCAGTTTTTATCAATAATTCAATAAAAGAAAATAAAGTTTGTCGTTGACGTATTAATTGAAATTTTAATAAATCAAAATCAGTTATGGATGTTAAATCATCATCAATGTCACTCAAATAATGATCAGTATATAATGATGAATTATGATTTAAATTTTTCCACGTTGTCATTGATATATTTTTCTAAAATTTGAAAATAATACCATGACAACAAGCTTTTCTAAAACGAAAGAAAAAAAACATGAAACATAGATATTCCAATAGTTTACTTAGATTTGTTTGCAGAAGAGAAGTAGATTTGATGTAAATAGAAGAAAGAGTGCAATTTTATGAATAGAATTTTTGTCTACTTGTCAATTGTTGACTTCATAAATCTTCAAGTTCACAACTAGCTGTTATCATCTTGCTTGGTATTCATATTAAAAAAAGTTCTTTGATACGACATTCCAAATAGTCGAAAAAAAAATTTATGGTAACAATATTAATTATTACCTATAATGATGAGCGTATTGATTAAAATAAATGAATATAACAATACTAAAAATATATTTTTCAAATATAATTAATGTTGCACTTTTATCCTGAAGTGACTGCTCTAGTTGTAAAACAAAAAACTTGTATATTGCCAATGAATCATCAAAAAAAAATAGATGTAAGAAGACGATACACACAAATCTATCTTACTCTAGTCTATTCTACGGAATAAAAAAGCCTACAATTTTCTTCTATGCTTTTTTCGATATATTTAATCATTTAAAATTGTATCCAAGCACAATTCAATTAGCATTTATTTCAAAACAACAAAAGGACCTAGATGTAATTCAATGTCATCATATTCTTTTAATCTTTGTCCTCTTCTTGTCTTTTTCGGTAGTGTGACTTTTATTATCTATTCACCAGTAGGCAGAAGGAAAAATTTAATATTGATTCGTTAATGTTGTGGTTGGTTTTAAAATATTTTAATTTTTCATTATTTTAGGTTTTAATATCAATATTTATTAAATTAAAGTTTTCACATTATAAAAACTGTTAGGTAAACTATTGAGAATACTAATATTGATCAAATATTATCATTCTAAAACACTATGATAATTACAAAAAAAATAATCCTTTCAACTATTAATGCTTCGTACATCTACCTTAATCTATTGTCAAAATGTATCTTCTATGACTTTTTTAGGTGATTTCAACGTAAGACATTGACCATAAACATTTGCTTAAAAGTATTAACTAGCAAACGCAGTTACGCAATTCTTAATCAATATATAGTATACGATAGTGGATAGTACAATAGATTTACTATCGTAATATTCTTTATTATTATAGTCAATCATAATATCTTATATAAATATGTATTTATTGACATATTTGACGAGTTTTCTCCTATTTATTTCTCTTCATATTAATGCTAATATAATATCTGACAATGAAATTTATTATCCTTCATTATGGCAAACTGTTTCATCATCATTAACTGAATATCCATTAGTAAATGATTCATCTTCTCAATATCGATTAATTGATTCATGGTTTTATCCACATAGACTTGGTTTATATAAGATTCTAATTAGTATTCCCATACTATTGATGCCATTTTGTTCATCATTAATGAATTCAATATTCTTTTTGCTCTTCGATCTCAATTTGGTTGGCAATTCGATTCTAATCGATTATTTACTAATGGTACATAAAATATGTCATTAGATAGTTGGTGGGTAGCAGCTAATTATTATTTATCAGTCATACCATTTTTTGCTGCGAATGATGTTGGTCTTATTACTCCTCAAGAATCATTTCGTATTATTCAATATGCAAATTTTTGTTCGAATTCAATTGAATGTTTACAACAAGTACCAAAAGCTATGACATAATGACAGAATTCTTTTACTCATCGTCTACACTTACATAAGAATATTGATGATACAATTATTGATAACAGAATTATTGATAGTCTTTATTTAGGACCAATGTGGTTAACATATAAGACTTCGATTGATGATGCTTTATCATTAGTTGAATCGAAAAAAATTTTATTACCATCAAATCTTGAAAGATTATTTTGTTATGGTTGGGCACGATTACTTAATTTAATTGCAATGGCAAGAAAAAATACAAACTTATATTAAAAAAATATTAATCAATGTGCATTTCTTCCACATCGAATATTATTAGATAGTGATCTATTAACACAGTCAAATGGTTTACCACAATCAGTGAAAAAATCATTACAATTTCTTATTTCGTTTCATCTTGATTGGTTATCTTATATTGAAAAAAATCTGGGTAAAACTTACATGTAATTATGAAGCACGGATCTATGGCGAAATCAAAAATTCGGACTTTTAGATATAGAAGTCTAGCTATAATAAATGCATTTTTATTTCGATGTGATGGTTCGTTTAAACATGATCTTTAAACAAATTTCATTTAAAACATTGCACTGAATAGAATTTTTTTTTTTGTAAGAAATATAGGCATACTTCTTTTTTCGAAATAAAGAGATAAAAAACATTTTTTTATTATTTTACTTCATATTTTTGCTTTTTATCTAAGAGATAAACAATTATATTTTCATACTCATTTTTCTTTCATTTCATTAGCCAGCATGGAGAATAGAAGTGAATTATACGTTTGGCTCGATGAATATTCTGTATCACATCAAAATCCAACTAATATTATGATACATAAAATTTGTGTACCAACAATTGCTTTTACAGTGTTAGGATTTCTTTGGTCAATACCTTTACCAAAATTTATTCGTCAAAATTTTGGTAATCTTTTTAGTCATTTTATTCCAATGCTTGTTATGGGACCTGTATTGGCATTTTATTTTCGTCTATCAACAAAAATGGCTGTAACAATGTTAATGATTATTTTATCTGCATTAGCTCTTTTAGCTAAAATGGAACAAAAACGAATACAAATATTTCGAGTATCATTAATGATATTTATTTTGGCTTGGATTGGACAATTTATTGGACATAGTATAGAAGGAAAAAAACCTTCATTTTTTGAAGATTTACAATTTTTAGCTGTCGGACCACTTTGGACACTGGCTAGTGCTTTTCGTGTTTTGAATATTGAATATTAATTTATCTTATATGAATCAATAGACGTGCATATTTATATTTTAAAAATGGTTCGCAATTTTTCTTTCCTTCTTTCTTTTCTTTAATATAAATCATTAAAAAAAAACGGGGAAAATAAAACAGATACCATCGTTTTCTATAAAATAAAATTCTATTCTTCATTCGCAACAGGCTTTTTTCGATTTTGATTTTGTTGTTGATTTTGTTTTTTATTATTATGAGTATTTATTAAGGCTTCTTTAATAAATAATTTTTGATCCGAATTTAAGGCACTTGGATATTCAACATCAAATTCAATAACCATATCACCATACTTATCTGGATTTGACATTAATGGCATACCTTGACCTGGTATACGTTTTTTATATCCCGGTCTAAAAAATAAACCAAATAATTCATTTTTTTTTTCTAATAATCGAAAAGAATCAAGCAAAATTTTTTTCGCTTACTTAACAATTTCATTAACAGGAACATCTAATTTTCTTCCATCAAGGTGTTCAATATGTAATGTTGTACCTGTTAATGCCTGTCCTAAATTTATTTTAGCTGTATAAATAAGGTCAGCATTTTCACGACGAAAATGTGAATGTGGTTTATCTTTTACAGTAAATATAAGATCCGATGGAATATTATTTGGACCTTGATCACCTTCACCTTCAAATGTTACTTTTGTACCTGGTAACCAACCACGTTTGACAGTTATTGAAAGAATTTTTTCACGAATACTCGATGTAATACCATCATCATTTAGTACCTAAAGGAAAGACAAACAAATGTCAAAACAAGTTTTATTGGAATGACTACATCTTTCGATGAAAAAAATTGGTTATAGAATGTACAGGAATGAATAAGTAACAAATGTTTTAAATTTTATCAAGTTCTGACTAACGAATGGAAGCAACACGGAGAATATTTAAATCGATTCTTGTTCGAAAACTGAAGATAGATATGGATTAAACGATATTCATTAAGTTTTTCTCGTTAATGACACTTCGTAGAAAAACGAACCATTCGTTCCTCGATAAGAATTCTTATAAATACATCAATTCGAATCAAGATTATAGCCATTTATTTATTGTTTATAAGTAAATTTTCTTGTAATGAGTGGACCGTGATTGATGACATCATTTGTTTTCCAAGATCAACTTTTATTGTAGACATATGTGTTTAGTCTTTAAAGATTTCTTTGTCTACTGTCTAAGAAATTATATAAGAACGTTGAATTTTAAACTTCCAATATAAACAAGTGATCGAATAGTATTGCACTTCTTTAAAATGTGCAACTTGCTAAAGATTTTGTCTTGTGAAAAAATATCAAAGAGAGTTTTTTCTCATGATATACAGTGTTATGAGTATTTGATGTAATATACCATTGGTTTTTATTCAAGCTATAAGATTATAAAATCAAAGGATGAAATTTTGTTAGACTATTATCAAAGTATGTAAAAATTTAAAATTCATGCGTTTTGTATAATTTTGTGAAAACAGTGTTCTTTTCCTGAGTGACGGATGTTTATGTGAAAATTATTTGAACATAGCTTAAAGATATCGTTTTTTTTGTATGCTACAAGATCACTAATCAGTTTCTTTGAAGGATCAATGTCTTAACAAATCAAATTGCAACAACTGTTTTTTTTAGTACAAAGTCACACACATCTTGAAAGGGTAGTATTATTCGGTTCATTGTTCGAATAAGAAGTTTAGATCAAATGTTTTAATATAACTTTATGAGGATTGAAAGAGGGATCATTCAAGACTAAGCTCAAATTTCTATAATAAAAGTTGACTGATGATAAACACAAAATTCACATGATGCCTTTATTTATAGGCAACTAATAATATTGATTCTATTTTTCTGAGATGTCATACTTCTGAGGACATGTACTAGTGAAATCTATGCTAATAGTTTCTTTTTCTGATGCAGCATACAGATAAATCAATAATTATAGATTCGTTACTTTGAAAAAAAAATGTTTTATGTGGATCTATTAGAGAAAAACCTTGTGTATATATTTATAGAAGTCAAGAATTCTTACTCGTCGACTAATTTTAATTTTTTTAACAGCGCCATGATAACAGTCTTCAAGTGAAAGTAAAAGATCACGTATTATAGGTGGATCTTGTTTTTTTCGACCGCGACCATCTAATCCACCAAAACCTAAATTTCTATCTTGGTCGGCACTGGCATAAAATTCTGTAAATAATTGAATTCATTTAATTATAAATGAAGAATGAGCCAGAAATATTGACTCAATGTGTATCATCAATTGTTCTAAAGCAAAACAAATGTTTGTAAATTTCTTTCTATAATGAGACGATGTAGTAAAATATGTTCTACAAAATGACTATTGATTGACCTCACTAGCACATCTAGTACGAAACTTATAAGCTCAGAAATATGCGTTGCAAAAAGAAAATAAAAATAAAAACCACTTTACATCTATTGTTATGTTTTTAAGTGAACGATTTATTTCTGAAATTCAGAAAGTATTTAAGAATTTAGGTCGAGATGATTAAGTTTCAAACAAAGAACTGATGCTGTTATGGATATTATCGATGTTTTTTTTGCAGAAAAACTTTAACTGCATGACAAGGATGTAGAAGTTGTCGACATATGGCCAATTGAAAAATATATAGGAAGGATTATGAAAGAAAAAACTAGATAGAAAAATATTTGGTACTAGTTCTTCAATGATTTGTTTTGTTAGTTCAGAATGGAGAAATATTACACTTAAACAATGTAAAGTAATGATAGAAAAAAAATACTAGAAATTCTGACAAAAGTGATATGAGTTAATGAAAACTAAGTTTATGAGCATTCATTCTGATAGGTTTTGATTATAATATTCATGGTAAAGAAACTGTACTTTAAATAAAGCAACGTTTTTTTATTTATTTCTAAACAGTCGCACTAAATTTTCATTTTTTTAGTTAAGCATAATTCTAAGGTTATAAATTTTCTACTAGATGAGCTAGCGAGATTAAACAATAGTCATTTTGTAGAGCATGCTTTATTGCATTTTTTCATTATGGAGATCAATCTACAAACATATGTTTCACTTTAGAAAAATTAATTATACACATCGAGTCAATACTTGTGCCCTACCCTATATGTATATATATTTGCTTTCATACTTACCAGAAAATGGATTATCACCACCGAAAAAGTCACGAAAAACTTTATCGGCATCACCATGAAATACATAACCTTCATTCCATTCATTTGCTGGTCCTATTGGTACGCCATTCTTTAAACCTTCATCACCATATTGATCATAAATAGCTCGTTTTTTATCTTAATAAAATAAAGAGAAATATTTCTTATCAATATAGATATAAACGTACGATCACTTAATACATCATAAGCTTCAGCAAGATCCTTAAATTTATTAAAAGCATTGTGATCATTCGTATTTTTAACTGGATGAAATTTAAGCGCTAATCGACGATACCTATGTAACCAACAAACAAAAAGATATATATTTAAATCAATTGATGAAATATTTGATTTCTACATACGCTGATTTTATATCATGATCTTTTGCACTTCGAGTTAATTGAAGAATTTGATAATAATCTTTCCCCATGCTAAAAGATACAGTAAAATCTTTGTGAATTTTAACACATTTTTTTTTCTTTATTTTGATTAAAAATAACCTATGTGTTGCCTTGTGTAACTAGATGAAGAATGTAACAGTCGATTTTGTCTTACCATCCATATTAACGTTTGCATAGCAACGACTCTCATGTGATTTTAACTACAAGCGACCTCTTGAATTTTATTGTAGTCATATATTCAATGTAAAGGATATCTTTCTATTTAAGACATTATTTTAAGTTTCAAAAAAAGTTGAAGTATTTGATTATCGACATGGTAGAAAAAAAAGCGTTCTCTATAAATAAGTTATTTTAAATCATACTTCGGAAATTTTATATCAGCAACATATTTTATCAAATGATGGAGATTTAATGATTACTAAAATGCAATGTTTAACACGTCTTACTTTTCATAGATATTCGATTATATTATTTGGAGA